CTCTTCCGGTTTTTTATACGCGCAAAATCTACAGAGAGAGTATCCCCTATTTACAAAACCCAACGGAACAACCGAGATATATCAATAATTTCAAAATTGCGCTAATGCTGCTCGTTTAATTATGCAGTACCACAATGCATTTGGTAATAATTGATGCAACTATTATGGACCATTTGTATATATAATATATGCAATTATATTGCAGTTCCTTATTCTCGCCTGCGCTCTGCTCGCCGTGACGATGGCAGCCGAGTCGGACAACAGCGAGGGACAGCAAACCGGCAGATCGCGGGTTTCTGACGAACAATTAAATATAGCACTGAGCGACAAGCGTTACTTGACCAGACAGCTTAAGTGCGCCCTGGGAGAAGCGCCATGCGACCCCGTCGGACGACGCTTGAAAAGTACGCTCCCTCCTCTTCGAGTAAATCCAACTTTTCACGAAAAGTTCATATTCCGCGATTATCCCAAATAAGACTTAAAAAATAAGATTCTAATCCTCTTTGACTGGCATCAATGAACTCGCGGCGAAAAAAGATCAATGCTTATCAACTTTTTATTAAGAAAAAAAGTAATCAGAGATAAAAAGATACTTTCCAATATTTTCAAATTTAATGTGAAGTGTTTATTATATCGAAATAATTGCAAGCAAGGAGTTTGCATCTGGTATAATTTCGGTGAGTCCAATTTCCAGTGAGATATACGAGAGATACGTGAACAAGTACGTCGCGCTAATTGTAGCGTTTCCATTGTCGCAGAGTAAACATAGGGGTTGAACACTTTTGCATATCTATAGAAATAGAATCTGAACTCAGAATCTGAAAATTTGGAAATTACACTAGTAGTGCATAAATATTTTATTAAAGATATTAAATATTGAACATATTTATCTCTCACAATATGCTATTTATACAAGACGTATTAAGTATATTTATATCTTTTTTAAAAAGGCAGACTTCGCATTTTCCTCTCTTCCTCATTTTTATTTGTTATACGCACATGGATTTTATCTTATGGAAAATCAGAATTAGCATCGGGCATCCCGAAAACTATTTATATATATGTATACTCACGGAAATGTGAAACGTTAATTAAATATTATGTATATCTTGCAATAATATTACACGAATATTGTAATATTATTCTGCAATAATATTATATGAGTCTAGAGAGAGGAATTATTCACGCGCATATAAACTTAAATACTACGTAAAACCGACCCGAAAATTCTCGGAGATTTGTATGTCGTTATTTTATCCAGGTTTAGTGCCGCTGGTTTTGAGAGGCTCCTGCCCGCAATGCAGCCCGGAGGAGACACGTCAGATCAAGAAGGTCCTTTCTCACATTCAGCGATCCTTCCCGAAGGAATGGAGCAGAATGGTGCAACAATACGCCGGAGTTTTATAAACGAGATATAATATAAGCCGACTACGACGAGGCTGAATGTACAAAAATATAGTTGTGGAATACAAAAAAGAATATATAATAAAGCTATTTACGTTTATGAAGCGAGAAACAACATTGATCATACATTCGTTCATTCGACGATATTATCGTTAAGCATCGAAAAAGTATAGTTCAGCCGAAAGAAATATTTAAATTACTACAATGCATAAATGTATATCAGATAAAAATATGTTGACACATATAAAATATGCATAAAATATGCATTAATGATATATTATCTGTTATTTAAAATGTTGAACATATAAATAAACTATATGTACGTTTTGTTTGATATATTTTATTAATAAATGTTATTCTCTCTCTCTTGTATTACCAAGATAAAAATTTCCTCTTTTATCCGTTTGTTATAATTAATTGATCGCGTATTAATAAAATTCGTGATTAGGAAAATATTCTACATTTGTTCTATATCAAGCAAATTATAATTTTAATTTGGCATTATTTCAGCGTATTTATTAATAATTATAACGCACTGTTAAAAAGTATAATATATCAAATTTTTTCGCAGAAATTGCCTCGTGAAAAATTTCGTAAAACAAGCGAATCACAGGATACAACGTTTAGTTTCATATGAAAAAGCCATAAGTGGAACAGAAAAAGTAACTAGTTTAAATAAACAGGAAACGATGTGCTATTAGATTACTATTTTGTATTTTTTTTTTTGGTCTATTTTTAATTCCAATAGCAATTACAATATGTAGCAGGATATTTTTGCAACTATATAAATAGTATAATACTATACACTGTTTTAATTTGATATAAAATTTACTCCGTTTGTATCGAAATTGTAATTTTATTTGTATAGAATTACAAAGAGCGTAAGAGAAATTCTTTATTCAGAAAATGACTTCATTTCGTAAAAATATCATATTTAAATTTAAAAATTTCAATATTAAAACATTTTAATTTTTCCCTTAATACGCCCGTATTTCCCATTTATTGACAAGTTTTTTAAATTTTATACTTCTCTATAGCAACAGTTTGAACTTCATCTTCTATCCTGAATCGTATTAATCGCAACGATGATGCATGTTTACACGCATTCGTTACATTAAAACGTAATTCGCATTCGCCATATATAATGTCAATTAGGGATATTGGCATTAAATCTACACGTGATCTACGAGAACGAACCGCGTAAAATGCGTTATTATTAGGGCTTATAAGTATCCGATCGTTTCGCAAGGATTATTGGATGTTTGACCAGCTTTATCAAGTATTAATGACAATCAACAAGTTGCTAATTTATTTGGCACATAATTAACACTATATCTCCGCACCCCTCTGCTATTCAACCGCCATGATTGCACCCTGATTCGGATTTCACTACCCTTGCTGTGAATATTAATTCTACTGTGCTTCGATGTCAAAGCCCTCGTATGCATGCTAATTTAAGTTTGTCCTCTATATCTACGCTGGCTGCGCGAGGACAGATTAGTAATTAAACTTTGTAAGCACCGATAAAAATGCACGAGTGGTGCAGCAATAATATCGTCGTCTTAATATACGAAAAGACGTGTCTCGATATTTGTTATGTCCCAAGAGAAATATTGTACTTGAAGAAACTTTTCAGTTATCAATTGTACTCTAAATTAAAATACACCTAATTCACTGCTTATAATAATTTCCGAATAAAACAAGTCTGAGTCACGGTCAATTTATGAGCAAACTTGCAAGTTGCAGTTGCCGCTTAAAGTATGATGCTAAATCAAAAAGCGATTTGTTATATACCATTATAATCTTCCACTGACAGATACTGAGTCACTGATCTTTAAGAATATTTTTATAAAACTCATGCGATAATCTAAATAAATATTTCACGTGTGCATTGTACAAACAATACCAATAATTTTTATTTTAAAAATATTTTCCTTTTTTTAATTTATGTACAAGTAGTATCCATTTTTTAAGGGAGGAAAAAAAAATTTATATATATATATATATATATATATATATGTGTATACACACTACATGCGCACACTACCGACGCGACTGAGAGACGACGATTATACGATCACACGACAACGACGACGAGAGCGGCGACGGCGACACCGCGACGGAGCCGCTGGGCGCGTACTGTGCGGAACGGACGACGGCAGTATGGCGTCCGGCGGCTTTCCTGCCCGTCCGCTCGCTCTCCCACCACCCCTCCCTTCCCAGCCCGCTTACCATTATCCCCATTCCCGCGCCACGTAATGCGCTGTCTCGGTTCAATTCGTGTTACGCTGCGCATCGACGTTCTCTCCCTCTCTCTCTTTTTCTCTGCTGTGTGTGTGTCTCTCTCTCTCTCTCTCACACACACACGCCGGTTGAGTCGGGTAGCATCGTCTCCTTTTATCTTGCGCTGTTTAAAGCTAGGGCTCTTTTTCTCTCTCGTACTAACTCGATCTCAGCTGTCGCTGATCCGTCGGTCTATCTCTCTTCGACGAATTCTCATTCTCTCTCTCTCTCTTTCGGATATAGCTCTATCTCCACCGATACCACCGTCGTAGGCTTTTCTCTGTTTCGATCCCCCGTTTCTCCAATACACGACAAACCGCGAGCTCTTTCCCACCTGTCTCGCCGCCAATGCCAATGCACTGCATCCTTTTCCCGTTCGAGCGCTCTCCTTCCACCCCTGCGATCCATCTCTTTCTCTTCTCGCTTTTCTCTCGCTTATATATATATATTCGTGTGTGTAAATAAAATCAATTATAAAAATTTAATCTATAATATATATAAAAGAAATACTATGAGTCAAAATTGATCCAATGCCGCCATGCGTAAGACTATCTACGGCATTTCCTATTCGAGAGTTAAAACGTAAATCTAAATTAAAAATAATACTAAAATAATATAGGCAGGAAATATGTTTCAAATCCAATATTGCAATTAGAAAGCACTAAGTTATATTTGCAAACTCAAAGCATATTTTATCGCACAGTAGATACGGACAGACTATTATCAGACTTCCGGAAATATCATTTTAAGATACGGAAATAGTTCATTGACCGACGATACTCTTAGCAACGCAAAGATTTCTCAATGAAACGAATATTCTCATAATTAAAACATATTTTCTGATTGCTGCAGAAATCAAAACATATGAACATACAAAGAATTACGCGTTATCCTAACGATTGTAACAATGGTAGACAAATCTATCGCGTCATCTTGCAAGTTGCAAATCTTTCAATGACGCACACCCTCGTCTGACTATTTATCGACCACGTGTACTCAACCGTTCAAACTGGTTTTCGATTATGTTTTCTCGGGAAAAGCGGAGATCTCGACAATTCGGGAAATCCGATTTGCCACTCCGTCTAGCCTCGCAAAATTCAAAATTGAAGTCTATGTAGGAATAGGCGAAGAAATATGCTGAGAATTTCCACATAAATGCTCGTAGTACAGTATGTTTCTAAAGTACTTAATAAGTTTTAAAGATTCAGTCTCTAATCAATATATAGTTTATTTTTTTGTAGCAAAAATATCATGTCCATAAACAAACCATTGAAAATAGAGAGAAAGCTTATATCAAATTAAATTTTAAAGATAAATATGATTAACAAAGTTATTTCGTTCCCAATTTCGAGTAAACTTCATTTTAATAGAATTTCGATTCCAAAATGTTATCAACATATTTAATATGTAAAGTTAAAAAGGAAGGCATCCTCTCAATAAAATTTCCGCTAAGGAAAAATTGATTCCAACTTGATCGAAGAACGCACTTGCAAAGCTTGCCAAAGTATTTCAGTAACATCCTGTACAAAACGTGTCGCGAGAAGATTCAACTCACGTAATGCTTGCATTTTACATCAGTGCGACGCGATGCAATTTAAACAGTTCGTCTCGCGAGATGCAATATGAACCGGGCGCAGCGATTAAATCGGCCGCGATCGAGCGCGCGTTTTCATATCATACGATCACAGTCACGGATCAAAACTTCCGGCTGACAGATATTTAATCGCTGGATAATTAGACTCTCGTCGGCTGTGATTTCGTATACGACACGAAATGTCGTTTCGTCGACGACTAGCCGAAGTCGAAGTTGCAGCTACTGCCGCCTTCGTCTTTCGGTAAACATTTGTTCTTCTTGATTGATACGCGATAATACACTTTCATTCGGGAGGGACAAATATTGAATTCCGTCGAAGAAACGAGGAGACGGTGTTTGCACACTTCGTGTATATATCGCGCAAATGATATTGCACATATGTGTATCTTATGTACTTACACTCTCGTCTACAATTTTATTGCTCATCCGCGATCGGGCTTTATTTACACCCCGGCGAACTTAAAAATTTGTCAACTCCGCCGGGAATCGAAGCCGGGATAAAAATCGTTCGCCGAATGCAGCCAACCGTTGCAAAACACATCCGGAGCGTACTTTAATTACTTTTAATTACGCTAAACGACCTGTAACAATACTTCGCGTTCGTAATTAAAATTAAGCCGGGCAGATGTGTAGAGTATTGAAAATCGTTAGATGCAGTTTCGACGGAATACCAATCAGAGTACACCAACTCGATTCCAGTTAAGAAACAAAATAAATGACTACCGCGACATTGCCGGCTAGGAAAGATTTTCAGTCATATTTTTTCCTTTATTATTCTCAGCGATACTTTGCTTCACTTTCCCGTACACATAGTATACTAAGTATGATTTGTAACCCGACGATGTGCAGTGTTATGTTGCGAGCAATTTTCCGAAACGACGATGGTATTACCGCTACGGGAAAGCGGCATTATACATATAGGCGTAAGATTATTCCAGTGTCGGGCAAATTTCCGCGGTCGTTCGATCGCGACCGTCGCTTTATAATTCGTTATACGAGCGTGATAAAACGACCATACCCGTTCTGCAATTCCCTTACTACCACGATCCACAACCGCCGCAACCGCTGTCGCCATCGCCGCCGCAAATCCACGATGTCGTTAATACGACCAGTCTTCAACATCGTCTGAAAGTTCCCTCGGCGCGCGGCTCTCATCCTAAGGGATCATCATTTCCACCCTTTATCGACCGTCGTACAAAAGGCAACTCGTATTGCCCGATGGA